TCCACTTGATCATGTCTCGTTATAACAGATCTCACTGTAGATCGTTTTCTCTATTGGACACGTCAATTACAAAAGTAATTTATATATTTTTGATTTATTTTTTTTTTATGTAGAATAACCCTCTTTTCGCTTGTACCACAACTTATTGATCACCCTGTATATTTAATTTTATAAGAAGAACGCTTGTGCCTTATTCTAGAAATATCATTTACGCTTGTTGATAAGAAAAACATCTTTACCTTTTATTAATAATATGTATTTAACCTTGTAAGAAGAACGTTTTTATTTTATTCTAGAAATATCTGTTTACATCTATTGATATGAAAACACCTTTATTCTATGCTAATGTGAAAAATGTATTTATTCTTTTCTAGAAATACTCTCATTTCTTCATATCATAACAACAGTGGACGGCATTTCTTATACTTTTACCTAACAAAAAAACATCTTTGTTAATCTTAAAATATTTTTTTATACTTATAAGAAGGTCGTTTTTACCTATTGAATAAGAAAATAAGAAAATTACTACCAATATTTTATTAAAGCAATGAATACATTATAATACCAGAATTGCAGATAATAAAATACAAAAATATTTTTCCAATGTTTTACAATTTTTTTTTTCATAATTGTATTCCAAATATTATACATTATTTAACTTTATTTTTTAAGTAGCCCAATAAGAAAAAGTCGAGTGGCATTAGATCTGGTGATCTACTGCCGATGAACAAACATGGTCTAAAGGAGCGTATAACAATGTATTGTTCCAATATCAATTAAAAAATGTAATAAAAAATGTAAAAAAGCGCATTAGAAAATGTTTAGAATACAATGGAGGAACATTATTCGAACACTTATTGTAATGAAATACATTGCTGATATAAAACAAAAAAATATCTCGTAAACTATTGACATTTCGATGACCTTCAATTAATACTTTTTAACGCAGAATAAAAAAAGGAATCGAATAGTGATCAATTTAGTGTAAACTTTTTTTATTTCTAATTGGTTATTATTTAATATCTTAAAAGATACAAATATTTTATTCTAATGAAAATTGGTCAATCAAAGAAATTGCATAACGATTGATTATAAAATTAGTTAAGTCCCATTTTCATAGACTTTTAAATTATGGTAAATATTTTTCATTTTTACTTAACAAAAATTTAAAGAAAATAACCTTAATTCAGTTAATTAATGAATATACAAGGGAAAATCTTTAAATAATATTTTAAGTTACATTTCCATAAATATATTAATATAACTAACGTTTAAAATGAAAGATACTACTTTTGTTATTATTTATAAACGAAATTATAGATTAATACAAAATATATTTAAGGTTATATTCAATTTTTTATCATCGAAATTAAATGATATTTATGAAAATAGTAAATATATATTATTTTAGTTAAATTCATCTAGAAAAGAAATTTATATAATAAAATTACCTTATTGATAAGTTAAAAGAATATTGACATATTTGATATAATTAATAGATATTTTTGAATTGATTAATATGGTAACCTTTTTTTAATTTTCTCGAATACACAGAAAATGGAATTGCACCACTTTTCAAATAAATAATAAAATATATACAGTAAGTGTAAAAAGTATTCTTATACCGATCAATTTGAAATAAAATGTTGAAAAATTGTAGTTTATTAAT